ATTACTTTGACCACGGACGATTTAAGATTCAGTCATATGTAATTTGTATCTCACAATCACTACTCCTTGTGATTAACAAATCACCAAGATTTGAATCTACGGATTCTATTATTTAATTTATTAGAATATTAATTCAATTAAATAATAGACATTCCCATACATATACATTGATTATATATATATATATTCAAAGTGTTTATGTCCAAAGTTGATTGGACTTAGGGCATAACACTTACACTTTCCTAACAACCTCATAGTCGTCTTGATCGCTGAAACAAGAAAACGAGCAAGTTTACTGCACCTCAAATCCATCATACCCCACTATAAAACTAAAAGGTGTCTAATATAATAGATGGGTAGCACCAATAGCCAATATGAAATAAATATATTTATATATTATTATGCCTCTTTTCTATATTTTTCGTTTCCAACATAAATATAGCCAGCTAGAATCTTGGCAATCAATGGTCGTAGAACTTTCAGCAATTATATTCCCTCTTACTCTGTTCCCCTTTACTTACTTTGATGTAGCAACTTCGTCTGTCACAAGTTATACATATCGAACCAAAAATCAGAAATCTTGTACCTTGTTTTCTCACAGGGAAATCCTTTCTTCCCGAATCCGTGTGGCACCATTTTTTCCTGTGACAAAAGAAGAAGAAAATCTCAAAACCCAAGTCCACCGCACCATATACACGTGTGCTGGCAAAAAAAAAAAAATTCAGGATACTCCACAAGCAGATCGAGAGGCAAAGTTACAATAAATGTGAAGGGAGTTTAACCAAAGCCCCGAAAACATATTGTAAATCACAAAATTCGTCAAGATAAAAAAAAATGAGACAAAAGATTCAGAACATACTTCACAAGGAAATCGAGAGACAAAGTCAGTCGGCCAATTTTTGAGACCTCCCTTTTTAGCTCTCTCTCTTGCGCGACGAGAAATGGTGGTATGTATAGATTAGCGTGAATAATGGAGGAAAGAGGATAGGGAGTTAGCGTGAATAGTGGAGAAATTGCAGCAAAAAATGGTAGAGGAAAGGGGATGGGAGTTAGTGTGAATAATGGAGAAAGTGCAGTAAAAAATGGTTGAAAATGGTCAGTGGAGTGTGACGACAGCATGACCCGATGATGATGCGATATGAACAGGAACACAACTCTCCTCTTTTATATATTGTAGGGATATGTATAAAGCTACTATAAATTTTCAAGGTATGGGTTATTTTATAAATTTTCAAGGTATGGGTTATTTTATTTATTCATTGATCTATAATAATTAAAATAATAATAATAGGAAGGCGTCTTATTATGTCTAGGCTTCACTTAGACACGACTAATTTTGTAAAGCTTGACCTCCAAATTTTACGTCTTTTTAGAACTTTAATTTATTTAATGTGAGGTATACTAGTATTAAGGTCCAATGTCTAAAAGGAGAGATTACTTTCAAGAATCAATGGAAAGGTGAAAACCTGCACTTGTATGACATATATAAGGCGAGAAGAATGTTTCGACCTTGTCATCTATAGTCATGTGATTTGTGGCTACAAAAACTTTTTAAGTGCCTTTTGATTAACTCTATCCAATTCCTCTGATTTTTCATCTCACCATAAGTTGTGTCAATAAAAATAAATAAATGTACATGCCTACACGAAGACAAATGAGGATTAAAGGGTCGTGAAACACTTTCCATGCCAACGACGATCATTGTGGAAATGAAAATCTTGCTCCAAATGAGAAATGAAACAATCATCGGAGACTTTCTATGTTGATGAACGATTATCAATGAAACGAGATTGTTGCTCCTAGACAAGTAACTTTTATACCACGTGTTAATAAATATATCTGGTTACAAATTGATGGAAACAATATAACGACATGTGTTGAATTATCGTTGAAAGATATTATAATAAATAAAAGTATTTATTTCATTTCCCATGAATATATAGATGGGCTTGGATCCAACCCCAATGGTATCAAGTTACTAGTACACTACTTATATGTCCGTACAAAATAAATAACATCAAGTAGGACTTTTAAGTATAATATAAAATGAAAACGATGAAAGAAATAAATTTATTTTATGTTCAAAAATTTTTACGAGAATTAACATATAACTGACCTAGCATAATTAAAATCATATTATTTTGCAATTTACGATTTCTCTACTATCTTATAACTTTGTTAATGAATACACACGTGAAGAGATAGATAACATATGCAATAATGGGGATTCAAAGCGGAGACGGACTCAGCATCCGGCCAGAGAGGGCCGCCGCTCGTGCTGGGCTCCGCCGGAGTGCCTCCTGTGCTGTGGTTGCTCTGGTCGTCTTCTCCAGCGTCAAGAAGAGTTTTTTTTTTTTTTCAAAGTGGGCTAAGGAGTAAGGCCTGCTGATTTTTTTTCTTTTTTTTTTTTTAATTTGTTTTGACATTGGGCCTGAAGAATCCAGCCCATAAATTTGTTTGTTTTGAAATTGGGCCAAATCGGCCCATTTATCTTATTATTATTTTTTTAATTGGATTTGATTGGGCCATTTTCTTGGCTCAATCCTTAATATGTACATGGGGTACTTACAAAAATACCCTTAAAATTAGGGATGTTTTGAAAAATCATATGAAAATTTTTTAGAAAGTAAAAAATACTGTGTAAAAATGAAAAAGTAACACAATATCACTTTTTTTAATAAAAATGTCACTTTTTACTTTTTTAAAAAAAGTGACAAAAATAAAAAAAAAGTGACAAATATCAAAATAGTATCATCCATTTGGGTAGCACCAGTAATCATGTTCTTAAAATAATCACCACGGGTCAATTCACATGTGATTATGTTAGGAAAATACAACATATTATTTCATTTTTTTTATC